GAGTTATTGATGTGTGATTTATCATATATTACTGCATTACGTTCATATTTACCTCTGTGTCCTATTGATAAGTAGACTTATTATATAGTGCTGCACTATGTTCATATTTACTCTGGTGGGAAGCCTGATTAGCTGCTTACCCAGGACTGTTTCACCTTAAAGAGGCAGGCACTGGATTTCCTTGCCTGGGGATTCTCTCAGGCAGCTGGAGATGAAGAGGATTATTTGGGGTCTTGGGTGGTACACCAGAAGAGGCTAGAGAGTTATCCAATAAGAGTTTCTGCTGTGTAAAGACGTGTGCATAGTTACTATGGAGTTTGTTCTCAGTTCACTGTTCCTTGGGCATCCTATACATCCCTTACCCCAACAAGTGTATTACCCCTTAATAAAGCAAAAATAAAATACAAGTAAACGAGTGTTTGCTGTCTCCAGAATGCAAGTCTGTGAAAAATGCGTGTTGCCTGGCTGTGAGGGACTATAGGGGGACTCAAATCTTCAGCAACTCCTACGGGGGTAGTGCTACGTGTGATTGCGGTCTAGAGTATCTTACAGAAGGGGCTTCAGGGCACCTGTTGCAAAAGTGGAAAAGGTCTGCTGGAGTAAGGAGAAAAGTAAATATTTTATCTTATTCCTCAACCCCAAGAGTTAACAAATATTTAAACCTGTGGCCTTGGTAAGGTGATTCATCCCTTCATTTGCCCTGGTGATCATTGGCATCAAGACAGAAAGTTAGAGGAAAATCCAACTGAGTTGATCAGAGCAAGAGATGGGAAAATCATCCAGTGGGGACACTCTCTAAGACGGAAATTCTTTCTTTGGATTGATTTCCTGTTGCACTTTCAGACAAGAAGTGAAAGGAAAAAAACAGCAAAAAAAATTATGGTGTCAACCCTTCACTCATCTTTGTAAAAAACAAAAGTTGTGGCTACATCCTTTAAGCCATCCATATACCAGACACAACACAAATATTTAGGAACGCTAACTGCCTAGATCCTTCTCAGCATGAGAATACCGCCCAAATAGTATGACAATAACACAGATGTTCCTTTGCATTGTTAGCTAGTTATTGCTTGGTTAAATGATGTTTTAATATAAAAACACAACTGTTGTTTCCACTTTATGGTTGTCAAAATGTTGCTTCGTATTTAAGGAATTGAGTTTTATAAGCAGATGCCTTATTGATGGTTGTCTTTGTTCCCAGCTCTCTGCAAAGAAATCCGCAATCAGAGAATCGAATTGGTACTTTGCATCCTAGAGTTTAATATCACATTTGGCATTTCAGAATGCGTTACTGGTCGGTAATGACTGGAGTGCGATGGATGTGGAGTTGCTGGAGACCTACGTGATTGACAAACGCTGTGTACGCACACTCACGAATGAGAGAGGCATCCGTGTATTGTAGTCTAATGTAGTTCCCCCCCATCTTCCTGCTAGAAGGTTTTATAACCTACTGTTCTTTTTGCTTCTGTAAAGAGGTTTCCCAATGCATGTATATCAAATTCAACATTATGCTTTTTTTTCCTTCTTCTCGCTGGCACAATGTACCGCTATATCTCATAGTTTTTCTGTTTTAGGAATGAGAAGTAATGATAAATTAAAGGAAAACTCAGCTTTACACCCTGTTTTTCATTAATTTTTTCATAATCAAATTATTATGAGATGCTCAAATGTAGGGATGACATTTGGGTTCAGGCTGATATAAGATTTAGTCCCACCTTTGTCTGTTCAGTGTTTGAGAAATGGGTAGAGTAAATGGGGTGTTTGCCCGCCTGTTGAGTCAAACTTCTGGCTGCAGCAGGAAGTCATACATTTAGCAGCAGCATTGTTACATCTTCCATTGGCTTTCTAGGAACCAGTGATACAGTACATCCCTGGCCCCATTCATCTGCTGGCTGGGAGATTTTCCGCCAGCAGTTGAATGTATGGTTGACATCACTGACAATGTATCCACCAGGGGCGGACTGACAACTCATGGGGCCCCCGGGCAATAGGGGATCATGGGGCCCCTGTGTCCTTGCCCAAACTCAAAAAAGCCTATGAAAAAGGTACCAGGGGCATTTCATTGGGCCCCCTACTGACCCCGGCTCTCGGGCTGTGCCCGAGCTTTCAAATGGTCAGTCCGCCCATGGTATCTACATCACATAAACCAATTCATTTACATGTATTGGGATTTTTTTTAACAAAGACATGTAGCAGAATACATTTTGGCCGAAATCTATGAAGAAATTTACTTTTTAAAATTTTTTTTACTGGATATGTTTTATAGCAAAAAGTCAAAAATATTGTTATTTTTTTCAAAATTATTGGTCTTTTTTGTTATAGCGCAAAAGAATAAAAAAAACACACAGGTGATCAAATATCACTGAAAGAAAGCTCTATTTGTGGGGAAAAGGGGCATACATTTCATTTATGTACAGTGTTGCACAACCGTGCAGTTGTCAGTTAAAGTAACGTAGTGCCATATAGCAAAAAAGGCCTGGTCAAAAAGGCGGGTAAATCCTCTGGAGGGCAAGTGGTTAAGATGAACCCCATGTCTTGTCATGTTAGGAAATCCCCAAGCATGTCAATTAAACAAATTTGTAATAAACTAAATGTAAAAAAAAACAAGTAAATATTATTATTATTATAAAAATATAATATACTTTCCTATACTTTTCCTATTTACTAATGTTAGCAGCATTGACATTAAAAACAGTCAATACTGATTGATAGAGTAAAGTACTGCTTTAATTTCAAATGCAACTTTCAATGGTTTTTTTAATCTTTTATTACAGCAATACCTGATGATCCTGCCATGGAGGTACTTGTTCACTATTCAGGCCCTTCTGCTATCATTTGACAATGTTCTCTCCTTTCTTCCAGATGTGCATTGTTACTCTGGAGACTACAAGCCCATTTCAGCACACATTAGGTAGGCATTGTCCACTGTTGTCACTATTAGGAAACAACCCTGAGAAAATCCATGTAGCCATCACTGGAATGCTAGTAGACAGAAACTTGCTGCAAAGGTGTTACAGGAGATCAACAGCACTGAGATGCAACTAAGGATAAAAAAAGGATAACATTCATAATTACATTTTTCAGTTTTGCACACATAAAACATCAGTTAAGGGACAAAAGAAAGAAAGAAGGGTCATCTAATTTTCCCAGACTTGGGCATTAAATAATATTGGTATATACACATCTAAAATATCATAAAAATGATAATCACCGTTAGCCATAAATGTCTAGGGATGGATAGAAGCCTGAAATGAAATGAAGAAATGTAATTACAATTTGTATATTTAAAGGGCTTGGTGGAACCTTGTTACCCCAGGTACTGATCTCATGGTAAATACAGCTCCACATTCCACCAATATATGTGAACTGAGAGCAAAAAGGACAAACTCTAAATGTAACATCTTCATCGCACACTCCAGAGGCTACTACTACTTATTTGCTAATATCTTAGCCTGGCGTATTAATGAGATCCATTTGATTTCTGCACTTAATAATGAGGCACATTACACTGTTCAACAGCACTGAGACCAGACACCTACGGCGGGGGCCACTTTCACCGGGCGAGACTGGCATATGTATAAAGAAGCTTACAGTCTGATTATGTCAAAGTGCTCTAATTAGTGCGCTTTATTTCAGATGTCTAATCTAGAATATTAATGACACACATCAGCAGGACAGTATAGTGAAGGACATTTTAAAAGAACTTATCCTATCATCTGTATCTAATTGCCCTCTCACCAAAATGACTAATACGGTGTTAAATATTTACAGGTATGGATTCCAGAGGATTACTGGCTTTAATTATCTACATTGTAAGTTACTGAAGAAAATATGTCTGAAATTAGAGCACTATTGAAAGTATATCATGATGAGGACTGACCTGAATATACACTCACCAAGCAATATATTAAGAACTCTATACTAATACTAGATAGAGGCTCCCTTTGTTCTCACACCAGCATTGATTCTTCATGGTATGGGTTCACAAGGGCTATAATGAATTTAAGGAAAGTGAGAAATAAGTGAGTTTTTTTGGTACTTACCTCCAATTAGAGATCTAAGTGTTGTCAGAGGAGATCAGGTGGGGAAACAGAAGTGTAGGAGACCATCCAGTGCTCAGTCAAGGGAGTGCAACATTAGATGAAATTTCCCACCCTTCTGTCAACAGGTCCACTGCGATCCAGCGTGCATTCCACCCAGCTCTGAGAGAGGACGTGCACTCCGGCCGGCCGCTGTCCCCCTCCAGCCACCACGCTGCTCCAGCGGCACGCGGACCTCTCACTACCTACCCCCACACAGATGACAGCTCTTGACCATGGATACCCACCTTACTGTTGGTCACCAATAAACCATGGTTTTTATGCTTCTATTTATCCTATCTGTGTGAGTGTTCCTACCTATATACCTAAATAAAGAGACATATTGCCCTTAGAGGTGCTTCTCTCCTTCTCTCATGGTGCCTTTAACCACCTCCAGAGGATTTACTCCCCTTCCTTACTAGGCCATTTTTTGTGATACGGCCCTGCATTATTTTAACTGACAATTGTGCGGTCATACAACTCTGTACATAAATAAAATTTGTGTCATTGTTTTTTCCCACAAATAAAGCTTTCACCTCTGCGTTTTTTATTTTTTTGCGCTATAAACAAAAAAAGACCAAAAGTTTTGAAAAAAAAACTATATTTTTTACTTTTTGCTACAAAACATATCCAATAAAAAAATTTAAAAATCTAATTTCTTCATGAATGTAGGCCAAAATGTATTCTGCTACATGTCTTTGCTAAAAAAAAATCTAATTTTTTTTGTTTATACTAGTAATGGTGGCGATCAGCGACTGCGGGACTGCGGCAGCAATTTTTACACTGGGTGGGAACTGACTAACTGCCACTGACATCTCCAGTGACACTAATACAGTGATCAGTGCTAATAAAAAGCACTGACACTGTACTAATGACACTGGGCAGGAAGGGGTTAACATCTGGGGCGATCAAAGGGTTAACAGTGTTCTGTGTGCTGTTTTACAAGGGAGACATGCTGCTTTGTATCTCTCTGCTGTGCAGAGAGATATAAAGCAGCTTGTCCATGCTGACAGGAGAGAGACCTGTGTTGCTTACACACAGGTTTCTCCCGTCAGCTGTGCCCATGATCACTGAGTCCTGGCCAAGAATCGCCGGCTGGGACCTGGTGACTGACATCCCCAGCAGCCAATGCAAATCACACACACACATATATATATATATATATATATATATATATATATATACATAATTTTGCACAGCCGTGCCGCCCTGTAGCAGTACATCTGCCATAGGGAGGCAGGCAATCGTTTAAAGTACGTTGGAAGTGGGTGTCAGAATTATATCTGTGTTGATATGGTGAAAATGGCCTTTAGCCAGTGTTGGGCAGCTGGGGGCCCTCCTGTGTATTGGTGCAGATACAACTTTTTTTTTAGGATATGCTTTGAAAAACCATAATGCCTTTTAATTTATATTTCAGTGTATGTTAATATGTTTGTTTGCATTGTTTAATAAAGATTATTGTGGCCACTAAAATCTAGAGAGTTGTTGACGTAGGTGGGCTTGTGCATTTACTATGCTCTTGTCATGCATCATGCAATTTCATGCAGATTTGTTATCTACACACATGTATCCTGCAGATATCCCAATATACCTCTCATTACCTGGATCTGAACCAAGGACCTCTGCTGCATCTGGCAATAGCTTTTCTTGCTGATCCCTTGGACAAACTTTTTTTCTGGCTGTTTCTTGTGAACCTTGAACTCTTTGCTCCTCCCATGAACTTCCTATTTTAGCCATGCCTTTGCGCTTCCTGTTTGCCAGATTATTGTGCTCTTCCCCAGCTAATATCTTGCTCCTTATGCTCCTGTTGCCACCTGCATCTTCGTTACCATTTGTTTCCAACCTTTGGATTGTTCCAGCCTATAACCACTTGTTGCTGACCTTTGGCTTGTTTACCAATTATGCTCCTGCTTGATCCCTACCTGCTACACCTGCTACCAAACCCTGGCTTGTCCACCTCCTGGTAGGGCAATCCTGAGGACCGTGACCTGGCACAATCATGCAGTGAAACCCATCTCCATTATCAGAAGCACTGGTGAAGACAGGTTAGTGCTTTGATCCCACATCTCATGTGAGCCATGTCTCCCACCAGGGGAATCTGCAGATGTTTTTATCCAGCTGGTTTCCACTGCTATAACCACTTGCCTTCTAGACCAATCCCCACGTCCCAAAGGTGTTCAGTAGGATTCAGATCCAATGACTGGCTTGCCATTGTGTTCCTCTCCAGATATTAAGATTCATCAGGTCAAGCTACATTTGTCCAGTCTTCAACTCTCAAGTTTTCCTGGAGCTGTGCCCAATGCAGCCTCACCTCTCTGTTCTTGGAGTTGAACCCAACATGGTCTTTTGCTGTTGTAGCTCCTACACCATGATTGGCTGGTTAGATAGTTGCATGAATAAGCAAGTGTACAGATGTTTCTAATATATACTGTACACTCACCGGACACTTTATTAGGTACACCTGTTCAATTGCGTTTGACTTGCTGAAGTTCAAGCTGAGCATCAGAATCGGAAAGAAAACGCATTTAAGTGAACTGAACATGCCTGGTTGTTGGTGCCAGATGGGCTGGTCTGGTATTTCAAAAACTGCTCATCTACTGGGATTTTCATGCACAACCATCTCTAGGGTTTACAGAGAATGGTCCGAAAAAGAGAAAATATCCAGTGAGTAGCAGTTGTGTGTAAAATGCCTTGTTGATGTCAGAGGTCAGAGGAGAATGAGCAGACTGGTTCAAGATGATAGAAAGGCAACAGTACCTCAAATAACCACTCGTTACAACCAAGGTATTCAGAATACCATCTCTTAATGCACAACACATCAAACCTTGAAGCAGATAGGCTTCAGCAGTAGAAGACCACACTGTGTGCCACTCCTGTAAGCTAAGAACAGGAAACGGAGGCTTCAATTCGCAAAGGCTCACCAAAATTGGACAATAGAAGATTGGGAAAAATGTTTCCTGGTCTGATGAATCTCGATTTCAGCTGCAAACATTCAGACGCTGGGCCAGAATTTAGCATAAACAACATGAAAGCATGGATCCATCCTGCCTTGTATCAATGGTTCAGGCTGGTGGTGGTGTAATGGTGTGGGGGATATTTTCTTGGCACTAGTAAGTTGTACCCAATAAAGTCGTCTGTGAGTGTATATTATATATGCTGCAATTGCAAGCCTAGTGTTTGGCTAATGGTTGTAGCAAATGTGGTGGTGGTGGTGGGGGGGAGAGGGGGTGTCATTTTTTATGTATGCTCTCTCCCCCCTGTTCAACTGCCTTTGCAGCTTAAGGATAGTGGCTGGGGAAAGGGGGGGGGGAGAAAAAACACAGCTGAACCACCTATTTTTACTATCCCTTATGGCATATCTCTATGGAAAAATCATCCCTTGCAATGGGGTTACTACTGCAGTATAAGTGTTAAACGGTTGTTTAGGTCTAGATTTCTGGAAAATGCAGTTTTACTTACCTGATCCCCCCACTTCCCCAGCACCTGGGGCCCTCCTCTACAAACTCTGGTGGTGGACTGTCCCTAAGTATCCTCACATTCAATGCCAAGTTTTGGGCACTGCAGTGATGACATCAGAGGACCCACAAATGACAGAACATAGGGAATAGGAGGCTACCAGGACTGGTCCAGCAGCATCGAGGGAGCCTGCAGGACAGGAGGATTGGGTAAGCAAGACTGATCTGTCTGGTACCCTAGACCTAAATGAGCATTTAACACATGTAGTGTAGAGGCAGCCACACTGTAAGGGAGGATTTTTGTTTTCTCCAGAGTTCAACATTAAGGAAAATAGTTGCCTGTGTTTGAATATAATCATTTGTTATGGGAAAAACACAGGCAACTAGTACCAATAACTTTGAGGCTTTACAGTGCTAAAATTAAAAAAAGTTTATTCCACCCATCATTTAACCCAGCCCTCCAATCATTCCGACAACTCCACAGGGCTAACCTCCCCACATTATAATGGTTTGATAAATTACCATATAATTACAGCTTGTTGCATAGATGGCAATCATTTCATAGTGTGGAGATAAGTGGGCTGATCTTTATCTGTGCCCCGTGCTAATTAACGGTGTAGTGTCAGCTTGATAAATCGGAATATCATCAGATATTCTAAAATGACATGAAATACAAATACAGTGCTAATGCTGATAATATTTTTGTATTACAATATTAGTAGAGTGCTATGAATATAATACAAGATAACCCTAAACCCCTCCACTGCATAGGAGAGAGACATCTGGTGCCATAACACACAGTATCAAGAGCATCTTCTGTCTAGACACGTGCGGTTTGTTTAACTACGAATTGAAATTCAGATGCAATTTTTGTTATTTGGAGATTCAGATGTATACAAGTCTTCGAATCACAATAGTAATGAATTTCAATTACAGTATTTTCTGGCGTATAAGACTACTTTTTATACTTAAAAAATATACCCCAAAAATTGGGGGTCGTCTTAGACGCGGGGTATAAAATGTGAACCTTGAGTTTGTTTGGGTCAAGCTGGCTGGATGTGTGGTAATACTGTACATACAGTATACCGTGCTGAGCCAAGCTGGCTCAAAACAAATGTCCCTATGATAGATTAATCTGTCAGCCCGCTGGATGTGCGGTATATACAGTATACTGCGCTGAGTCAAGCGGTTTCAAAACGTACCGGTACGTGCCTACTGTAATCAGCCCGCTGGATGCGTGTATGTATGGTAGCTGAGGCTACATACAGTATACACTGGGCCAATCATGGCAAGCGATGTATTCTACTAATGAATACAAAGCCTGCTCAGATTGGCTGAGTCAGAGAGGTGGGCTGATGATGTCATAACCTCAGCCAATCCGAGCAGGCTTTGTATTCATTAGTAGAATACATCACTCGCCGTGATTGGCCCAGTGTATACTGTATGTAGCCGCAGCTACCGTACATACACGCATCTAGCGGGCTGATAACAGTAGGGACGTACCGGTACGTTTTGAAACAGCTTGGCTCAGAGCAGTATACTGTATATACCGCACATCCAGGGGCTGACAGATTAATCTCTCATAGGGACATTTGTTTTGAGCCAGCTTGGCTCAGCGCAGTATACTGTATGTACATTGCATATCCAGCGGGCTGTATATATACTGTATGTAGCCGAAGCTACTGTATTACCGCACATCAGCGGTAACCATCTGATCTGAAATTTGATCCATATGATGACTGTCTTACAAATTTATCACAAGATGTCATTCATGAACTTATGATGTCAGAGGATGAACATGAGGATTTTGAAGGATTTTAAGTTCTGGTAAGTCATAACCATTTCAATTAAAAAATCTGATGTTTTTAAATAGTGTTACTTCGGAAGGGGGGGTAGTCTTATACGGCGAGTATAGCCCAAAACCTAGGTTTTAACTGCAAAATTGGGGTCGTCTTATACACCCAGTCGCCTTATACGCCGGAAAATACGGTAATCCAAAATAAATTATAATGAAAAAACAACAAATTAATTTGTATTTCATTGGGGGATGACATGATGTGATAGTGTGGACCTTTTGTTCATGTTTGAAGCATCAACACAACAACATAACGAATGATCCGAATTTTGCATTAACATTTTTTATTATTGTAAAAAATGTACTATATTTGAAATGAAAACATATTGCAATAAAAATACAGTAAGGTGTAAAAGTGAAATAAGATGATGATTTCTACTTATTGTGTTTGGGTTGGATGGAGGTGGATCCTTTCGAATATGTGAACCAAAACATAATGAATGAATTTAAAATTAATGATGACTAAGAGTGCAGAAGTAATCTCCTGAAAAAACGAATTAACAAATTAAAATGAATATAGCCAATCTTCCAAAAAATACAAAATGAATCTGTATATACAAAACAAATTCCAAAAACGAACCATTCTAACAATGAATATGATTAAATTAAATGATTAACTGAACCAATGAATCCAAACTGAAGAACATTTTTATTGTGTACATCTTTATTTCTGTCCACCATCACAATCTGTGTTGTAGCCACAGCAATGATTCTACGTATGTGCAAACATTTCTGGAAATCCATATTTGCATACTGGAATGTACATCCTCCATCAAGTGAAAGCCTTTCAGCTTGGCAATTGGCCA